GAATAGGGCAAAGCCGAAGCAGAAGAACAGGCAGAACCGTAATAGGATGGAAATATGAAGGGCCATAGCCATAATGGGGTGGAACCATAAAAGGGTGGAACCATAACAGGCTGAAATCATAAATGAAACCATAACGGGGCAAAGCCGTAACAAGGCATGGCCATAATGGGGTGGAGACGTAATGAGGCGGAGTTGTAATGGGGCAGAACCACAACGAAGCAGAGCCATAATGAGGCAGAACTGTAATGGAAAAGAGTCATAATGAGGCAGGGCTATAATGGGCAGAACTACAACAAAGTAGAGTCATGGTGGGGCAGAACCAAAATGAGCCAGAGCCATAATGGTGTAGAACCATAGCGAGACAGACATAATGGGCCAGAACCATATTGAGGCAGGGCCACATTGAGGCAGGGCCATTATGAAGCGGAGCCATAATGGTTAATAACGTTAACGAGGCAGAGCCCTAATGGGGCAGAATCATAATGAGGCAGAGCCATAATGGGGCAGAGCCATAATGGGGCAGAACCACAACAAGGCCTTGCCATAATGAGGCAGAACTGTAACTGTGAAGAGTCATAATGGGGCAGAACCATAACCAAACAGGGTCATAATGGGGCAGAGCCATAATGGGGCAGAATCTTAATGAAGCAGGGCCAAATTGGGACAGAGCCATAATGAGGCAGTGCCATAATGGGGAAGAACTGTAACGAGGCAGAGCAATAATGGGACAGAGCCATAACGAGGGAGGGCCATAATGGGGCAGAGCCACAATAGGGCAAAGCAATAATGGGACAGAGTAAGAACAGGACACAGCCACAGCACCTGTGTCATGACACCACCACTGTACAAAGAGAACAACACATGAGACACAAGTGACAGATTATGAAGGGGAGAGGAACAGACTGGACCTTAGGACCCATCACTGTTCAAATGGTTCAAGAGTGGCACCTAATATGTGGTTAGTCAACTGTGATAGAATTTAGAGTTTTCTCTTTTTTTTTGCCAGAAAGTGATTAGAGTGATTTCTGCCTTTCTGCTCAGGCATCTCCCAGACCCAAAACCTATTTTACAGAGGATGGTTTCACTCCGTTTTTTGTAATGGGCCCAGCCAAAATTGACGACTGTCCGGCTGCAGACAGTTGTAGATTGCTTTCCTTAGCACAGAGGAACCTTAAACAAAGGCAGAGTCTCAGCGTTACTCCACCGCAGACCAGAAGGGGCTTACAGTAATCACCAAGCAGAAATAGGATACTCATTCTTTTGCATCTGACAACTTTATCACGGTTTGGTAAGCTCAGAATCGCAAAAAGGGGGTCAGACATGGCCCTCTAAGACAGGTTTATGATACTCAATGCTACAACAAGCTTGCAAGGGCAAAAAAATAGTGAACATCTGCTTTGACCTTATTGATGAAGAAAAAAGTTTAACAACGTGGAGCTCTCAAAGGAATTTTCCTGATTCCATCCGCTGGTCATGAATAATACATCCAGCACTTAGGTACTCATTAATCTAACTGCTAACTTGTTCTGCAGCTTTTTTGCTAGCATGTATTGTTATTGGTGAGTGGGTTTGTGTTATCATCCTCAGTGTTTAATATGTGAAAATGCTCAAAAATAATACTCCTCAATTAATCATGATGCTAGATTGCAAGACCAATGACACAACTGAGATCAGCAAAGGGCTGTAATTGGACAGTTATTACAGCAACACCCCCATGTTTGGCAGAAGATTGTGTTTGGATGGTTATTTTAGCTTCACCCTCATGTTTGTCACAGGGCCGTGATTGGACTTTTATTACAGCCACATCGTCAAGTTCAGCAGAGGGCTGTGATTGGAGAGTTGTTACAGCCACACCCCCAAGTTCAGAAGAGTGCAATGACTGTACGTTGTTGAAAGCCAGCTCAGCAGAGAGCTGTAACCAGATAGTTATTACAGCCACTTTTCGATATTTGGAAGAAGATTGTGATTGAATGGGTATTATAACTGCACCCCCATGTTCGGCAGAAGTGTTGATATGACATTTATTGCAGCCACACCCCCGCGTTTAGCAGAGGGCTGTGTTTGGACATTTATTACAGCCACACTCCCAGGTTCAGCAGACTACTATGACTGGACAAGTAATGCAGTCTCACGTCTAAATCAGAGGGCCTGTAATCTGAAAGCTAAACTGAGTAATTCACCCTTTTGGAATTAATCCACCTCTTGTTTTAAAAGCTGTTGCTGAAAACACAAGCATTCATGAGCTCCTGCTGGTGTGGGTCTATTTCTTTTCTTTAAATGACACAACTTCCATGAGAATGGTGCCACCTGCTAGAAGAACTTTAGACTGCTACAAGTGCACAAGTAAAATAGAGAATTCCAAAGGTACATCCATGTGCTTTACAAAAAAAAAGATTCTGTTGTTAGAACGGAGTTGCTCTGGAATTCAGCTATACATGCCTGTGAGAGGCAATTAACTATTATATATAACTATCAGAAAGACTGAGACACTTAAACTGTATGGGAAATGCTGAGAATTTTCCTCAGGTGGTATATTGTATTCAGAAAAATCCCCAGCAGAGAAGATTTTGCTGCATTTTTGGCACATCACTAATCAAACGTAATGTTAATTTTGCCTTGCATTTCACATCTTGGAGCACTGCAATTGAAGAGTCACCTTTAGTTCAGTTCAGTGGTTTAATTTTAATTTTAAAGATCCTTTGAAAGATTCCTTACGGAATTGTGCTTCTTTCACAGCATAGCTCCAAAGAACCCTTTTTGCCATCTTTATTTTTAAGAGAGTACCAGCAGTAACCTGCATCCAAGCATGCGAACCTAAAGCTCGTCTTCTCCTGCCTGCTTTTATTGATCACCTGTGTTCCCCTGGCAGCCTTTTCGGGAGCCCGCACATCCTGGCAGTCGTTCAGGCGCTACGCTGCTGTTCCTTTGCATGATTCCTCACCAGATGCTGGTTTATTTCTCTGCTTTTCCTCTTCGGAGAGATGCATTTGCCATCGTGATACCACCTTTGGGACTCCCCCTTCCCTCCCCTTCTACCAATTCCCCTCTTCTCGGCTGCTCAGGCAGATAGACACTTGGACAGGTGTGGGAGGCAGACGAGACAGATGGTCCAGAAAACTTTCTCAACTTTTTTTTTCTCACCCTCTACTGTGTTTTTTTTTCTTCTATGGAAGCTGAAAACAAACGCTAGCTTCTCCAGATGCTGTAATTTGTCTATTAATGTCAAGAGGCTGCCGGGTGAGTCTCGGAAGGCCTTATTGCAGTTGTTTATCCCTAATACAAGCTTGAGCAGTTTGCTGGGTTTAGTGGCTCTCTGAGGCTTAGCTTCTTCATATTTTCAATAGTATGCGCTCTGCTATTTCAGAGGTCCACATGGGAAAAGACCTTGAAGAAGCAGCAAGTGCTTTACTGTAATCAAATGGTAAATCCTAGTTCAGTTGCTTTGTTGTTCAGAACTCACACAGGGTTTGGCTTCATGGTAATCATAGTCTTTACCATCATTAGACGGTCAAGATTGCCAAAGTTTTACTATTTTTTACATGGCTGTAATTGCAATATGATCACGTGTAATACATATTGCGTGTGTCTCTAGTGAGCTCTCTAAGTAGCCACTGTCTAAGTAGGTAGCGTTCCAACCATCATCTATCCTTAAAAGATAGATAAATGAGACGCTCTAGTTAGACAGCAGTGGCGTCGCCGCTTGTTCCCGCCCACTGCACGAGACTGGCGTTTACTTACCTCAGCCGTCAGAATCACATTTAGCCAACATGGATCCTGCTCTGGCAGTTTATATAGTGATTTTAATTGTATTTGCTCTGAATGAAACAGCAAAATAGACAATAGTTGTGGTCAAACGCGGAAAGTATAGGCTATTTGTGCACCTTTATGACTAGAAAACAGATAAATACCCCAGAAAATCAGAATAACTTACATTTGAAGATGACGTCGTTGCTTGGTGAAGCGCTTCTGCCCGCCATCTTCAAACAAAAGTTGTGCCGCGCTGCATCGCGGGATTGCCTCAGCGGCTGAGGAAACATCCGATACTCTCTTGATATTCGGCCAAAATGAGAGACCTCAGTAGGCAGCATATGTGAGATATCTAAGAATTGGGACAGCCTTCTTGTCGGGAGCGTGCATATTGTGACGTGAAATGCTGTCTATGTAGAGATCTCACTAGGTTTTGAGACACACCCATTGTCTTACAGAGTCACTGGCCAATTTATCAGAAACCCCTCTCTTGTAGCTACACCTTGTGTACAGCTAGAGACTGTAGCCCAACTCCCCTTACATTAATGGTCAGTTTCTGACCACAGAGCTGCTCTTCTCTGGATATGTTTGTGTTGTAGCCTACTCTCAACCTAGCAGCGACACTGATGTGTGTAAAAACCCCAGTAACAATCAGTTTAACTGCTTAGCTGAGAATGAACAACTACCTAGATAATATCTGGACAACAGCAGTCCTATGGTCAGAAACTCAGCAGTAAATAATAGGGAAGAGAAGGGTTGATACATTTTGCATCAACAGATTGACTACAGTTTTTAACTGTACACTTATATAGTGGACCTAGGACATCAGGGTTTCTTATAAAATGGCTAGTGAGTGGAAGTACAAGGTGGGTGTTTCTAATAAAGTGGCCAGTGAGTATATGCACAAGGTAAGGGTTTCTAATACAATGGTTGAAGTACAGACAAAATAAAAAATGATGCAGAAGCCTCCAAAATGAAATATTCAAATGTTCAGTATTTACAGTGTCCACGCTTTGCCTTTATTACAGCTTCTATTCTTTGTGGAGCATCATTAAAACCGTTAACACATCCTTATGATGTGAAAGAATCTACAGCCAGTTGAAGAAGCAGCTGCATCAGACACAGATGAAGACAGTGATTAGCAATATTAAGCATAATAATGAGGAAGATACAGTCATAAATAAGACATAATGAAAATTACACATAAAAAAGAGTATTGTCACATTTTCTATTTCTTCCTCTTCTGTCTCCAGGTTATTTCTTGCGGACACAGGCCTCTCCATCCCAGCGTTCCTTTCAGGGATGTATGCAGCTCATCCAGGTGGATGATCAGCTAGCTGATCTGAATGCTGTGGAGCAGGGCAGGCTGGGAGCCTTTGAGAACGTCAGCCTGGACATGTGTGCCATCATCGACAGGTTAGAGCACCTGCTGCACCCAACCACCACCTTTATGCACATGCTCTGAGAGAGAGTAGAGACACAAACACCCTGCCACAGTGGGCCAGGATCAGTCACGGTCTGCCTGGCCCCCTGGAGCTCTGGCTTGTGCATGCACAAAACACAGCTTAACCCTTAGCCTACAGTTATTATTGTTTAACTGTACTTTTTGTGTGTATTTACATAATTAATTAATTAGTCACACAGTGAATTTCATTTACATTTGATTTTACATTGTCAGGTTAGAGTTTTTCCATGGCAAGTAATGACAAAAATAGGAGGTTTAACCTCTACACTTTCCACACAGTTTCTCCACTTGTGTCAATGAGTTATTAGAGTTAGTTACACAAAATCAGTAACTGACATGAAGCTAATATGTAATTTAGACATGTTGATTGACTCATGACTCGACTTAAACTTGTGAAATTTCAGCCCGAAAAGACACAACCAAATCTGATTAACATTTACTGTGGCTAGCACTTCAGTTCTGTCCTTTAGACTGAATTGTTTTCTATAATGAAAGGCTTGTTTTTTGAGCTGTGTCAAACCTGACAGGTCTTTAGTTGGAATTTGCTTCTGTATAGTGCAACACCTGCAGCTAACAAGACTAAACCAAAATTTTCTTCTAAAAACCTGAGACTTAATTTGGACTCGCAACCTAGACTTGAGACTCGTGACTTGACTGGCACTAGATTTGAGACTCGTAGATAGACTTGCACTTGCACCTCAGAGACTCGAGATTAATCCCAGACTTCCACCTCAGAGACTCAAGGCTTGGCTTGAATTCACTGCAGACGTAAGTTTTGACTTAGACTCATTCCTCAGGGACTTGAGACTCGACTCAGTCTCGCACCTCAGAACTTCAAGACTCAACCCAGACATGCAACCCAGAGACTCGAGACTTAACTCAGACTAACAGCTCAGAGACTTAACTCAGACTTTCACACAGAGCCTCAAGCTTGAGACTGGAGACCCAGGCTCACACCCCAAAGCTCAGAAACACACCTCTGAGACTTGAGACTCGACTTGGACTCGCAGCTCAGAGACGCAACACTCGACTCAGGCTCACAACTCTGAGACTTGAGACTCGGCTTGGACTCACACCTCAGAGACTTGAGACTCAACACCGACTCTTACCCCAGAGATTCAAGACTGGACTCGGATTTGTACCTCAGAGACTCGAGACCGAATTTTTAGGGACTCGAGACTCAATGCTGACTTGGACTCACCTCAGAGACTTGTGACTTGACTCAGACTCACTCCTCAGACACTCAAGACTTAATTTGGACTCACTCTTCAGGGACACGAGACTCAATTCAGACTCATACCTCAGAAACTTGAGACTCAACTCAGACTCACACCTCAGAGACTCGAGACTCGACTCTGACTTGCACCCAGGAGACTTCGACAGTTGACACTGACTTGCACCCCAGAGACTCGAGACTCAACTCTGACTCAAAACCCGACTTGCATGAAGCAACTTGTGGACAACTCATGGTGTATATTATGTATTTATTATTGAGGAAATTAACCCAAGATATCCTGAGATTTTAAAATGTTAATTTTGAATGCTGATAAATGTACTGTAATCTCATCTGCCTTGCAGTGGAGGCTACAAAGCATGGCCAGGTGTTCGCCCCAGTGCTATAGTAGCATTGCCAAACAATGTAATTTGGCTTGTTTGCATGCTAAGAGGCTATTTTAGAGGAATGGGCCAAAACGCATCAGATTTAATTGGATATACAATGCAAATATAATTTAAAATCACAACATGCTTTTGTTATTGTTTATGGTTCCTGTAACTTCTAAGGGTTAATCAGTGCAGCCGCTTCCTCGTGGCTCCAGCACAGGAGTGCCGCACCAAGAAGGCACGTTCAATTTCAGGGAATATAAGTGGCCAGCTCGCTGTCATTACGCTCAGATTGATTGATTATCCATGCATTTCTGTCACTGAGCCACAGCAGCCGCTCATGTGCTTTGGCCCAGTTTGCACCTACACCGTCGCTAAGGTATGCTGTTTAGCATGCTGATAAACAAATGTGATTGATGAGATAAATCCATGTTTGACATTGTTCCATATGACTTAAACACAGGCGCTAATCCGAAACTGAACGCTTCCTTATGAGACGAGACAAATACACAATGCTCCATTAGCAAGATGATTTGTGGTTGGTCTCTTCTTTGTTTTTTCATGTTTACTGGTAAATAATTTGTAATAGAAACACGTTTTTATGCCTTGTTTTTGCCTTATTTGAATATGTTTCTTGGAGAATTTTGACAGTTCAATTTGTAGCACTATTATTTCCATGAAATAACATCTCATTGCCTGGGATGATGCGTTTCCCACCATACAGACCTGAATGACAATGCAGTCATCCATTGTCATATGGGAAAACAAATTTTTCTCAATATTAGGACAGATTGAGGAGTGCTGTTTATCATGTCTAATTAGGTGATTTCTACCAGACCCTCCAATTGTTCATCTACATATTACCTTAAAGGGGAATTTCCCTGTTTTTTTTACAATTTCACCATTCAATCTTTCAGATGTAAACAAAGCCATTCAGAGTGGTTTGATGTGAAGTGGCTCACTGTGAAGAAACTTACTGACTCAGATTTCTTTACAGTGGTGGTGATAGGAACCAGGAGTCACAATGTGTACAACACAAATATAGATAGGTAGGTAGGTAGGTAGATAGATAGGATAGATGCATAGATAAGTGGATGGATGGATGGCTGGATGGATGGATGGATGGGTGGGTAGATAGATAGATCTTTATTGCCATTGTTTAAAAACAATGGAAAACCATTTAGCAGCTCTAGAACACAATAACACAATAATATATTGAGCTAGTATATACAAACATACTAGCTTAAAATGAAATGATACATGATGAAAGATGAAAGATATCTCAGTCTTAGTCTAGTCTTAGTCTTAGGAAGGAGAGGGAGGGTAGGAGGAACTTATGACTGCCTGTGGGAAGAAGCCATCCATTTCTTAATCTGTTTGCTCTGATTGATCTGAATCTCCAGCCATTTTATTTACTATCCAAATCCACCTATTAACCTTTACAGGAGTTTTATATGTACTACTGGGTTTTTATATGTTGATGATGGTAAAACCATGGTAAATCTAAAAATAACTATTTTAAATATAGTTTAAAAATATGGTTTAGACAAAAACCTTCTCAAACTCATCATAATGTATTGTCTCAGACAACATATTCAGTTTTTTTTTTTTTGGGTTGGGGGGGTAGAACAGCCCAAATCAATACTAAATAATTAATACTTGCATAAAATAATGACACAAGTAAAAGTATCTTCCTATTTACCTTCTTGGTAAATTCAGCATTTGTTAGCATAGGAAATGAAGATTGTGTGGCTCTATTCTTCACTTTTTGGAATTGGTTTGGTCTAAAATACAAATGTAAAGCTCCAAAGTCAGAGATGTGCCCAGTCAAAAAGCAGTGCAGATATTGTTCTCATCAAAACATAATGAAATTAAACACAAAAAAGGAATTGGTAACTAAATATAAGTGTCTGAAATGTGACAGAATATACTGAATAGATTATTTTTTATTAAACAATATACTTGAGTAGAAGTGAAAATATTATGATTTTAAATATTCAGGAGAGTACAAATCCATTAATATTTTACTTAAGTCGAGTACTTGAGTAAGCGTAACTAGTTACTGCCCACCACCGGTCATAACTTGTAAGGGTGCTTTTAAAGGCATTAAACTCTTCAGATGTCTGGTTCCTATCACCACCATTGTGAACAGGTCTTATTCAGTAAGTTTCTCTAGATTTCATACCAAACCACTCTGAATGACTTTGTTTACTTAACAAAATTATTTTTAACCATTTAATTATGCAAATGTTATGAAAAAAAATAAGTGTTGATGAAATTCAATTGTTAGTGCACATGTATATAGTTTGGGTTTCAGCTTGTAACTGGACTGGTATCTTGTGCATTGCTCGTTGTATTTTATTAGATGGGTACTACATATGGACTCATAGTCAGTGAAGAAAATTGTCAATAATTATCCATGTCTTTGATCACAATACATTTAGCGTCGTCTTCTTTGGTTGTGTTCATCATTCTTAAATAGCCCATAGTAGTTAATAAATCATAGTAGTAAACTCTTAGTAGTTAAGTCTTCTAGTCTCGCTAGGCAAAATGTGATCTCATAATGAGAACATGAGTGGATAACCATGACAAATGTTGGTCTAAATATGTAGACTTATCAGGGTGGGAACAAACTGAATGTGATATTTATAAACCAATCCAACGCCTCAGCAAGGCAGAACTCAAAGTAGGGGGCGATGGACAAGCCTGTTGTCATGGCTGTAATGTGTGTTAGCATGACTGAAAAGGCCCCACCAAAACAACTCAATTAAGCATGTCATGTCAGTGTCATACATGTGGAGAACACATTACATGCATTAGAAATAAACATTGCCTCTTACAAGAGAAAAAAAAGTCCACTTCAGAGATTCATTTTACTTACTTTCAAGAATGAATAGCATTTCACTAGCTAGCTTATTTGCTTGCATTTTTGATTTTCCTCTTCTTTAGGCTAAAAGACTTTTGTTAGCGTCAAAATCCCCACAATCCAGCACAGAAGGTTTAAGTTGTCCCCAGACGTGTATTCTCATTACAAGATCATGCTAATATTGCCAACAATGAATGGACAATATGCTAGTAACCACAGATTAGCACTTGCCTACTTACATTGTCTTATGCTAATTGGCAGCTGTTCACTTTCATTCATGGTTAGCAACAATATTGTTTCTGATTGAAGTATTCCTTTAAGATTAATAATGCATAATTAACTCATCTTAAGAGATTAAATATAAATATTCATATATTTGTGCTGTAAATATGCATGTATTTATCCATAACTCTCCTAAGCATACTGCAGGAAAGGAAGAGCAGTCTTTTGAGCCTGCATCAAGCTTCTTCAATAAGACCTCAG